ACAAGAAACTTACAGTACAGTATCTGCAACTTAACCAGCTTTTGTTTCTAATTACAGTACAGGCTATTTCTGATGTCAGTTTCTAGCCTGAGTAGATGGTATGCAATACGCTTAAGATAATAATTGTTTTCAAATATTAAACAAGAACAATTATTCTTCTTTAACTAAGTTTTTTTTAAAAAATCTTACGATTTTTCTGAATGAAAAGAGTATACTATGTTGCATTCCTAAAATTGAAGACAAACTCACTTGCTGCTTTGATTTGGCTGACCTTTAATAAAAGAGCACTTTGTATCATTGCAAAGGTACTTCTGTCTGCTGCTGTAAGGAGGGTAATAAAAATACCACTTTATGGAAAGACACCAGATGGAAGGAATGTCAACACACTGGAACTAATTTAAGAGATTGCTCTGATATAGAGCAAAGGCATGAGGAGAATTCACATGGTTCCAGTGTGAAGAGATTGGCTGCTTCTCTTAAAACAATAAACTAAAATTCTTATCCTGGGGTTACATGTAAATGGAAAGCAGTCAGCCCTTAAAGTGGATGTCCATTAAAAAAAAACATTGTATGACTGTGCTTCTCAGTTTTACATTAGAATCCCAGAAATGTAAAAATAAAATGGAATGTGTGTTTACCTGTTATTCTGTCTTGTAAAGATCTGGGTGATATGTAAAAGACCCTGGCAAAATAGTTTGAAACTTTTTTTTTGTTTTTCTTAGCTTTCAGTCATCAATGTACACAGTCTGGTTTCATCTTTTCATATAAAACATTTTTTGAGGATCTGTTTTTCCATGCCTCACAAGATTTTCTTCTTTTTGATGAGCCAGTATATTTATGAGAAAGATATTATGTCTCACTGGGTGTGGTAAATCCTAGAATTCTGGACATACAGATGAGTAGGAAGTCTCTGTATCGGCATTTTCTATATCTGCCTCCTTTTTTCTTTTTTCGTTCCATTAAGTTTTAGAGTTCTGTATCATTTTGAGCTTTGATCATTTCAAGCCTTCTAAAAATAGTTAAATAGACGGAGTAAACATAGGGGTGACATAATAGTTCAGCTGTGATAGAGAATAATAGCTTGAGAAAAATAATGGTACAAAATGACCTTCCTTCTAAGTTTTACATTATAGCTGAGTAAAATCCCAAGTCAAAAGACATATTTAGATAGCCAGAACCAAGAAATAAATAGCAACTCTTTTTCTTTCAGTCTCTCTCTCTCTCTCACACACACACACACACACACATTCTTGCACACAAATATCAGAATAAATAAATTTGTTCTTAAAATTATGGATGAAAGTAAATATTTTTGTTTAAAATAAATACTTTATTCTAATTGCACAAAGACCTAATTGCATTTTGAAAAAGTTCATGGCTTTTGAAAGTGCCTGTATACATCACATTCTGTTGGGCAGCAGCATTTTTTTCACACCTGCTGAATTAAATGTAATCTCATTAATTTTATCATCAAAATTCAATCTCGTTATTTTTGCCTTTTAAATTGAGAAAAGTAGTATTCATATTCTAGTATAGTTCTCTTGGTTTTATAGTACAACTCTATCCGAGTTGTTATATGCTTTTTGGTGATATTTATGAAAATTAGGAGTTTGATTCTCTGCTGTGCTTTGCAGGAGAAGAGCCATCCTGTGTAGTTTTGGGCAAGCTACACAATCCCAGAGCACCTTCAGAAGAATGGTAGACCACTTCTGAGTACTCTGTATCTAGATCAGTGCTTCCTAACCATGGGTTCCCAAATGTTCTTGGACAACTCCCAGAAATCCTGGTCAGCACAGCAAGTACTGAAAGCTTCTGGGAGTTTTAGTCCAAGAACATCTGGGGCCCCAAGATTGGAGACCACTGATCTAGAGGATCCTGGAAGAGGATTATGTGGACAAAATCAGAATCAGAGACAGTTGGATGGCATATAATAATTATTGTTATGAGCCCTCAAGTTGCTTCTAATTTATTGTGACTTTATGAATTGGTGACCTTCAGTAGGTCCTATCATCAACAGACCTGCATAGTTCTAATAAATTCAAGGCTGTATGTTCCTTTATTGAGTCAATCCATTTATTATGGATTATTATTATGTAATTATTATATGAATTTCAACCAGGGCTGCAACAAGTTATTTTGGTCAGATAAATTGTTGCATCTTTACTCATATTTCAATATATATATATATTTTTTTCCTCCAAAAATACTGTACTGCAGGATTCATTTTCAAAGAACATTAGATGAAGATTTAAGTGGCAGAAAGGGCCATTGGAGATAGAAACAGCTTTGTAAGTGAAACAGCTTAATGGAGGACTTCTTTAGGGATTGAATGTAGGACACTGTGTGAAATATTCAGGAACCTAAAGGTTGGAGCAACTATGCCAAGGAATCAGAACCAAGGCAGGAGTTAGAGACAAAGGATGCAGCACAGCCAGGAAGACCATTATTGCTCAGGAAAAGTCCTAGGAAAGGAAAGGAAATTCATTTGGCTAGCTTGAGAGGATGGAACCAGTTCAGATACTGAGAACCTTTGAAAACCTGGGGGCACTCTTCAAACATTAGGTCTAGTGGCTTGCCAGCTGCATGTAGAGTTCATGAATCCTGATGGAAGGACCACATTACTAAAATAGGGCAGTGTTATAGACTGGTCCTAATTGTATCTCCTTCTGCGTAATCTCAGAATTCCTTATTTGAGGGGAAATAATTTGTAGAAGTTTTCTTACAAGGAAATAACTCTGTAAAGCAATTTTTTCAGAAGTTACGGCGTCTATGAAAAAAAAGGCAAGCAGATTCATCATTATGAATCATGTGTCATGCAGCGTAGTCACTAACATCTTGATGCTGGAGTATGTACAATGAAATGATGTTTCTTTGTCTGGCATTTCAATTTTACCAAGCTAAAAAGCCAAATATATGTTCCTTATTAAATTTATTTCTGTGTAATAGGTGCTGGCTACAGCTATACAGAACTGCTTTAGAAACTGGCCTAACGTTAGAATAATGTGTATTAGTCTCTTTGGATATAAATGAAATGCTCGAAAATATACAGTGAACCAGTAAATCCAAATTGTTCTGTTGAATAAATCAGTCCATCAGCAGCTTCAATTAGAGGGAACTATATTTATTTGTCTCTTTATTCCTGTAAGAAACACTCTACTGCACCTAAATACATTTATCTTATTGTTTAGGCACATTAAAAACATGTCTCAATGTGTGTTAAAAATACAACATTACATGATCAATGTTGTCCTATGGTGATACATATGTTTACATGGTAGTGTTTCTTTGAACAATGATCTTTCGGACAAAGAACAATAGCTAGGTTGCTATGCATGTACTGCTTTGCGTAAATGAAATTTAATCATTGGCATCACCAGTTAAAGAATTTGAAATAGCAGGTCCAATAAGATGTACATATATGCCAGAAACTTTCAGCTGTTGTTGCTAATCAAGATAGATAAATAGACAAGTAAATGTAGGGAGTTCTTCATAGAGTCTTACCTACAGTGACTTGAACTGTTTTTGGTAAATAAAGCACTCTAGTAAATAAGAGATTGCATTAATATGCTTCAGTGATTATAGATAACCAAATTTGATTCTGTCAATATCAGTTGATTCTTGTGCCTTTACAGTATTTCAGTATTGATTTGTTAGAAACGGTGCCTTTCTGGTTATAAAGGCCTTTCTTATGTAAGAAGACCATTTTAATAATATTAATGCCTTCTTAGAGTACTCAGAATATCAGCTTTGGAGAGGATGATATAATGTAATCGTCCACAGCAGCTCATATAGTTTCCAAAGTTTATTGTTAATGAGAATGAAGTCACCGGAATAAATCAGTGCTTCATCAGCAGTTAGGCAACCAACTGCTCAGCAGCCAGAGTTTATCTGACTGCTTACTAATTCCATTCCAATACAAGCACATGCAATCTCTCTCTCTCTCTCTCTCTCTCTCTCTCTCTCTCTCTCTCACACACACACACACACACACACACACACACAAGATGACACATCTGCCACAGAGTCCAATTTTTTCAGTGTTGCTACAGTATTTGTTTTATATACCGCCTTTCTTCTGGTAAGGGGAACTATTTCCTCTTTCTACAAAAATTGCAGGAAACTCATGCCTTGCATATGAAGATGGCATACAGTACCTGGGCTTGTAGTATAGTACTCATGTTTTCCCCATTTATGACTGCATGGCCTAGAAGAGAACAGCTTCAGTTTTTATTTGGCCTCATTTTCATTCTCAGTTGGGACTCCTTATAGACCAGGTTCCAGTCAAGCATGTTGGGAGTGCATTAAATGTTATTTCTACAATACTTCCTATAGCCAATGTAAGCCACTTAAGACCTTTCTATGCTTTACGAACCATTAGCATTCATCTTATTGCTACTAGCTGTACTTCTCTTTTTGGTTGTTACTTCTTAATCAGAAAAAGCAAGTGACAAAAGAAAAAGTGTATAAGAACAAGAGAGAGGAAGGAAACAAAATGCACAAGTCCAGATAACAGTACAGTCCTGAGTTTAAAAAAAAAAAGCAGTTTGAAGATTGCCTGTCTGCCTTTACCAGCATTAACGTGCTGTACATCTGCTGGACTACAATTATCCTTTGAAATTCACTTTTCTTTAAATTATGTGATAGAGCTACCAGCCCCCCCAAAAAACCCACATCAAAGTGCAGACACAACATGTATTCTGTAATAAATAAATGTCTGCTGTGTGATATGTTAAAAAAATACACATTTTGCAGGGTTTTTTAAAAAGTACACAGAAACAGCATAGAATGAATTTACCAATAAACATGTGAAGCTGAAGGAGGCCAGAAACAGATGGATCTATTCATTCCTGCAAGGGGGAAATGGAGGCTGCAGTAGAGTGGAAATTACTAGGACAGTGGCAATGTGCTCCTTGGTTTCAGAGTTGATCATGTGTGTTTCAGTGTCTTTAATTCTTAAACCTATTGAATTAAAAGTGCAGAGGTTTTTTTTTAATCTGCAGTATTTGAGAACAAAGATAAGATTGTGATCATCATGGAGTATGCAAGCAAAGGTGAATTGTATGATTATATCAGTGAAAGGCGAAGGCTGAACGAGAGGGAAACAAGACACTTCTTCCGGCAAATTGTCTCTGCTGTGCATTACTGCCACAAGGTGAGCAAAACGCTTGAGCCACATTATCACACAAGTGTGTTTATAGTGTTGTGTTGTTTTGTATTGTATGTTGCTGTGTATTGTGGACTGAGAATCAAGATTATTTCATGGTTGTTTCATTTCAGCTGAAATGTGACTTTACGGTATCTTCTTTATTCGTACATATCATGCTAAAACAAATCATTGTCCTTCCATAGTGTTTACATATATTCTTTCTATAGTGTTTACATATATTTTATATACATTTTAAGTGTGTTATATTCTTGCCCTCATTGCATTGCCATCAGTTATTTCAAATATACATACTGTGTTTGGCAGGAAGCATACCTTCATACAAAAGAGCTACAGATCAGGGCTGTAGCAAAAGGGAATGCATTAAGGTCCTTCCCTGAATTTAATGGTAAACAAATCCATGCTATAAATTCTTTCATATGAATTAAAATTGTGAAATGAGTTTTTAAAAAGACTTTTAAAATCCTTTAAAATGCAGAACTCCCTTTAAAAGAAGGATGTATCTAGCTAAGTACTAAAAGAAACTTAAAAATGTTAATGGTAAATTCCCCATTAAGAATCATCTTAAGTGATGTTTGTCTTTAAAGAATAGAGATTGCAGATCTTCCTATGTTACAACACAGAAAATTAGATTTATGTATGCTTTGATTTTAACCAAGTTGTGATATGGGCTTACAGGCATGTGAAAAATGAAGTACACCCTTTTGAATTCCACAGTTTTATGTATTAGGACATAATAAAAATCATCTGGTCCTTAGCAGAACGGAAAATTAGGTAAATACAACCTTAGATGACCAAACTGGGTCATGCAAGAGGACAGTGATGCCAAGCACACCAGCAAATCTACAACAGAATAGATGAAAAAGAAAAGAATCTTCAAAGTCCAGACCTCAACCCAATTGAAATGTTGTGGCAGGACTTTAGGAGAACTGTGCATAAATAAATGCCTGCAAACCTCAGTGAACTGAATAAATGTTGCAAAGAAGAGTGGGCCAAAATTCCTTCACAATTATGTGAGAGACTGATAAAGAGACAGAAAAGAATTACTTGAGGTTATTGCTGCTGAAGGTGGTTCTACAAGCTATTGAATCGTAAGGTGTACTTAGTTTTTCACACGACGTATCCATTTTGGCTTTATTTTCTGTTAAATAAATCATGACATTGTATAATATGTTATATGTTATTGTTTACCTGAGGTTGTATTTACCTGATTTTCAGACCTGCTAAGGACCAGATTATTTTTATTATGTCCTGATATGCAAAACCATAGAATTCAAAGAGGTTGTACTTTCTTTTTCACATGACTATATCTTGTTAGGTCTCCAACATTTGAAAACCAAAGCAGTCTTATAGGGATATACAGTACTGTAACTTCTCATACCTAAAAGGCCAGAGATTTGAAGAGCCTGGTTTTTTCCAAGGACTAACTTAACAGTGAGAGCGAAAGAGAAAAAGGGAAAGAGAAATGTTTTCTGGAGCTAGGAAAAATATGTTACTTTCACACAGTGAGGGGAGGAATGGGGTTGGAATTAAGTTCCGAAAGGAGTCCCCCTGCTGTTTTACAGGCTTTGTGGGAGGATAGATTCCAGTCATTCTTCCCTTAACCACACAGCAAGTGACTAATACATCTCCTGTCACTAGTTACTAGGCTGCAAGTGTTATGACTGAAGTGTAAATGCAAAGACCACCCTGATGGCTTGCTTCTTTTATCCATCAAATATTAAGCCCTCCTACAACTTCTCCTTTGTGTCCATTCTTATATTTCCCCCTCTTCTTGTTTCAGAATGGTGTTGTCCATAGGGATCTAAAACTGGAAAATATTCTTCTTGATGATAACTGTAATATTAAGGTAAAGTTTTTTCTTTTGTGTCAACTACTATTGTCAGAGAAACCACTGTAAAACCTGGTACACATCTGTATAATGCCATACAGAGATAATTTTTGTTGTTGTGTCATCTATAGACTACTCTGTGCTCATTGTTTTAAGCTGTCATGCTGATGCAACAACTAACACAACAAATTAGGTTCCGCACTCCACAACTTTCCTGTGCTACAACATGGTTTGTGTAATTTCCTGCTTGGCTCTCAAAAACTTGCACATACCGTATTTTTTGCACCATAAGACACACTTTTTCTCAAAAAAAAAACCATGGGGGGAAGTGTGTGCGTCTTATGGAGCGAATACTGTCCCCCCCACGCCACCATCGCTGGCTTCTGAGGCCTCCAGAAGCCTTAGAAGGCCCTGCGGGGGGCCCCCAGGCCACTATCACTGGCTTCTGATGCCTCCGGAGGCCTCAGAAGGCCCCGTGGGGGTCCCCACCACCACCATCGCTGACTTCTGAGGACCTCGGGGAGGCTTTGGACCGGTAAGATGCTGCTTTTTACTTCTTTAAAAAATGTTCTGGGTGGGTTTTGGAGGGTAGATTTGGACTGGGGGTATGTTTCTATGTTGCTTTGTTTTTTGGTGATTTTTTTTTTGCAGTCCCAGCGTGGGACCAGCTCTGTTTATTTATTTTTATTTTATTTTTTGGTATTTAAAAATTAGGTGCTGCTTTTTACTTTTTAAAAAATGTTCTGGGTGGGTTTTGGAGGGTAGATTTGGACTGGGGGTATGTTTCTATGTTGCTTTGTTTTTTGGTGATTTTTTTTTTGCAGTCCCAGCGTGGGACCGGCTCTGTTTATTTATTTTTATTTTATTTAAATTTTTGGTATTTAAAAATTAGGTGTGTTTTATGGTCAGGTGTGTCTTATGGAGCGAGAAATACGGGTATTTGTTTTAAAAAGAACCTTATATGAAGATAAAGAAATAGTCTTTTCCCCCTTCTAAGCAGAGCACCAGCAGTCAGTAGACAAAATAGTAGAATCTTCACATAAGACAATTTACTTTACAGATGGCAATTTGCTGGCCACTGGGATCATAAAAATGTTCTTGGCCTGTAAGGTTTGAGTGTCTCCTCCAAAGTACTCCGAACATCCTTTTGATCATGTCTGAAAAATAAGCAAATCCAGTTTCAAAATAAACTCAAGTAAAGCACATGTCCTTCATTAGGAAGTGGCCTTAGAACTCCAGGCACAATGATAGCTTTCAGATTAGCTTTTAGTGATGTCATAAGTATGTCAAAAATTCTTCGTAAAAGCATGGGAATGACCTTTTCATTTTTCTTAGAGGAGGAGGATGGCTACAGTACAAGAGATGTGATGCAGTTCTGGGAAAAGCACTAATTTCCCAGGTTTTACCTTCAGTTGTTTAAAACTAAAACGGTGATTAATTATCTGACAGAGGCTTTCCCTATTTCGTAGGGTATGGTCTGAAGGCAGCCTTACTGTAACTTTGCTGATAGGTAAAGGTAAAGGTTTCCCTTTACAATTTGTTTTGTCCAGCCGTGTTAGACTCTAGGGGGCGGTGCTCATCCCCGTTTCCAAGCCATAGAGCCAGCGTTTTGTCCGAAGACAATCTTCCGTGGTCACATGGCCAGTGCGACTTAGACACAGAATGCTGTTACCTTCCCACCGAGGTGGTCCCTATTTATCTACTTGCATTTGCATGCTTTCGAACCGCTAGGTTGGCGGGAGCTGGGACAGAGCAACGGGCGCTCACTCCGTCACGTGGATTCGATCTTACGACTGCTTGGTCTTCTGACCCTGCAGCACAGGCTTTTGCGGTTTAGCCCGCAGCGCCACACTTTGCTGATACGAAGGTATAATTGTAATAAAATTTCAAATTATGTTGCAGTCTACATATCCTCTAACTTTAAGAGGTTGGGCAGGGAGCCGCCTCTCTCTTGTGTGTCTTTGTACCTGCACACATGACTCCACCCCTACCTGTGTGCAGGTTTCTGTCGCAACTGAAACCTAACATGATCGCTGTGCGGAGGGAGAAGACAGCTGCATGGAAGGAGGGAGAAGTGTGCGCGCATGCACGTGTTCCAAGCTTAGAGGGAACCTTGGATGCTATACATGTCATACACAACATATGGACCTCATGTTTAAGAAATACTTGGTGTATTCTTTTTTGTTACTGACATTTTCTGTGTTTATTTTTTAATAATCTGGAGTGTTAACAACCCAATTATAAATGTATGTTCTTTTATCATTGTGTGAAGTCATGATGGTATTACTGCAATACAGCTATAATGTTAAGCTGTCCTGTGAATGTTCCAGGAAGGACCATCTTGGGCAGTGTTGAGCTCCATTTGTTTGACTTGTGTCTACTTCTTCTATGGCTCTGATATGTGCTTTTCGTTCTTTCTGATACAGCAGTGCCTCGCTAGACAGTTACCCCACATGACAGTTTCTTCCCTAGACATTGACTTTTTGCAATTGCTATAGCGATTCACAAAACAGTGATTCCTATGGGGAAATTTCGCTGGACAGTGTTTGGTCCCTGCTTCGCAAACCAATTTTCGCTAGACAACCATTTTGACAGCTCCCTCCTTGCTCACAAAATGGGTGTTTTCGGGACCTAAGCTTCGCAAGACAGCTATTTAAACAGCTGATTGGTGGTTCGCAAAACAGCTTTCCTATGGCCAATCTTCGCTAGACAATGATTCTTCCCCATTGGAATGCATTAAACAGGTTTCAATGCATTCCAATAGGGAAACGCTTTTCACTAGACAATGATTTCGCTAAACAGCAATTTCAGTGGAATGGATTATTGTCTAGTGAGGCACCACTGTATTTAGTCCCTCTGGTTTAAATTGAGTGTTGTCTTTATATGCCAGCTTTCCCTCCGAAGATTTAGACATGTCCAGGACCTCCTCAGGAATGATTTTTCTAGTCCAATCCAGGAAGTTGGTCTGGGCCTCCTCCCCATATAAAAGTGTGCTCAGAAGGCAAAGCATGCCTTCGTAGAGACTTGTCAATTGTTCTTCTATGAGAGAGGTGTTGATCTGGCAGCATGAGTTCAATTCTGTTGCTGCTGCCATCTCCAACATAAGCATACAACAGGACCCTCTTATCCATGGGATCAGAATCCACTGATCTGAAAATATTAAAAAGTTAAAAGATACAATTCATGAAAAAAATAATGTTCACATGCATTACCAGAACTGGACATAGAGGGAGTCAGAGAACACACTATGAAAAATACATAGCATGGTCTCTGGCTGCAGAAGGCCTCTCCTCTTGCTTCGGGAGGCAGTGGTGACAGCACCTCCTGCCTGCAGGTTTACCTGGCGGTAAAACAAACATATAATATGGGGCCAGCATCGCTGGCTGGGCAATCTAAACAAAATGGGGCATGCTTAGGGCTAGCTAACCTTGACAAGCAGCTCAGCATGCTTGCCTCTCAAGACAGCAATGATAGCCTCCGTGCTTAGCCCTCCCTTTGGGTAACAATTGGGTTTGCATGGATCCTGTGTGCTTTGTTGTCCCAAGAACTTATCTTCACCTTTCAGATACAGTGGTGCCTTGACTTACGAATGTCCCTACTTACAACCATTTCAAGTTATGACCAGCTCTGGCCGCAAAATTTTGCTTCTACTTGCGACCGGAGCTTCCACTTACAAACAGAAAAAGGCAGGGAAAAAGGTGGGAAATTCAAATTTCTAACTGTGTGTTTGTGGTGAAGAGCCTGCTGCTTTGTAGCTCTTTCGCCCTAGCAGAGAGTGTGCGTTGGAAGAGGCTTGGAAGAGGGAAGAGAGAAGAAAAAGGAGAGAGAGAGAGAGAGAGAGAGAGAGAGAGTGTGTGTGTGTGTGTGTGTTTTTGCAGAGAGGCTTTGGGCTGCCTGGTAAGGTAAGGTGCTGTTTTCTGCTTTTTATAAACTGTTCTGGATGTTTTTGCAGCATAGTTTTGAGCTGGGATGGTTATATTTCTGTGCTGTGATGGGTCTTGGGGAGTTTGTTTGTTTTTTGGTTCCCCCCATTTCTGATGAGTCTTGGGTTTTTTTGTTGCTTTTTGGAGTGTTTTCCCCCATTTCCGATGGGCCTTGGGGTTTTTTGTTGCTTTTTGAGGGTTTTCTCCATTTCTGATGGGTCCTGCATGCTTCCCTTGCTTTTTTCTTTGTTTTCTTTGCATTTCTGACCTGCCCCCTTTGTTCTCTGTGTATTTCTGATCTGCTCCGTTTGTTTTCTGTGCATTTCCAATGGGTCTTGCACGGTTGATTGCTTTTATTTTCTTTTTCCCCCTTCAGCCTTGAGGGATTAATCGCATTTCCAATGAGTCTTGCCATGATTTTTGTGTGTGTGTGTGTGTGTGTGTGATTTTTTTCTTAGTTTGGAACAGATTAATTGCATTATGGGAAACGGTGCTTCGACTTATGACCATTGCGAGTTACGTCCATCTTCTGGAATGGATTATGGTCGTAATTCGAGGCACCACTGTAGTTGACTAGGGTGCTTGCTGTAATCCGCATTTTTCAGCATCCATTGGGAGGGGCTTGGAATTCCTCCCCTGCAGATACAGGGGTCCTTTTGTATACAACTTGAGGGTATAGGATGGTATTCTGTAGACCATCTTGACTCCAGATGTGGGTGTTGTCATCATTCAGGCTGCTCTTTGCTATGTAACGTTTGACATCCTTTTTCCTGCTGGCAATCAGACTTGATATTTTGCATCAATATTGGACCTTTTCCGGGCATTTTGAATTATGGATACAAAAACACAATATCCCACATTCATAAACTGAAGTTTGTTTTTTTTAAAAAAAATTGTATTTCTTTTAAAGCAGCGAGGAATCAGCAGTATGATCTTCCATTGCAAAACAGCAGAATAGTTGTTTAGTTGCTTTCCCCATTTCGTACTGGCAATTTACTGTGTAGTTTATCTTATTTTAACTTAGTTTAAACATTGTAAACTGCTTTTCCTTTGTGCAAAATTGCAGTTCTATGCTTTAGTTTTCTTAATTGTACA